TTCCTATTACAACATTTTGTACTTCTAGGACAATGCTAATAATCACCACCATCTAAGTCTATTTGGCTCTTCAGTGAGGACACTGATTGCCTAACTTGCTTGTGTTCTTGCGTTTGAGACAGTGAATAGCAAGATATGGATTACAAGGGCTCTATTCTTCTGAATAGCTCTATTTTTAAAACTACCCAAATCTGCTTGGCTCCCATGTTCAAATAGTTAAGAGTTCAGTGTGCAAGATATATCTTTACTTTGTAAACATCAATATTTGAATTAAGCAATTAAAACATGAGTATGTAAATTAAATACTGAATTTATGAAGACTACTGTAAACCTTTAGAGAAAGATGACGTCAGATATCTATATAGTCTCTGTATTATTATGACTCAGGGAAAAAAATAAGGTACTATGGAAATAGTCACTTTCTATCCCTACCAGTAAAGCTTATTTATGGGATGCTAAAATATCCTTGGCAATTCTCAAGGGCAAAACTATGGGGACCTATCTAAGTGAAATAGAATTGGTCTTTAGCAGTCTCCCAAGAAGGATGTCAACCTTGAAACAACGTGTCTTTGCATAAAGCACTGTAAACAGCTGGAACATAATTTAACTGTGTTAGATGCCAAGAGGTGGCATTTTTCCTCCCGAATTTGGTGGACATGAGATTTCTGGTTGATGTGTGAGAAACAATCAAGATAGTGGTGAGTACGTGTAACTCAAAAATATATGTTAAATACCAGAATACTCATCATAACAAGAAAACATTAGGTTCTAGTCTTTTCTTCCATCCACTAACCATGACCTTGGAAAGGTCACATTTCTGAGTGTAAGTTTCTTCAACTATAAAGCAAGGTATTAGTTTCAATGATATCTAAGGTCCATGTAAGCTCTAAAAATGCTCTGATTCCCTATTTAAATTTTTTTTTTACCTTTGTTTTACATTTAAAACATTCTTAACAGTTATAAAAGTAACACACTGGCTGTGGCTTAAGAAAATACAGACTGTCATAGATAAGTAAGTAAAATTACTGAAAGTACAGCTCAACGATAGAACACGTGCTTAGCATGCACAGGGCTCTGGGTTCAAACACTAGGACCTAGACAAAACAACAACAAACCAGGGCCGGGGATGCAGCTCAGTGGTGTCATGCCTGCCTGGCAAGTGCAAGGTCCTGAGTTCGATCCCTGGTACCAAGCGGAAAAAAAACCACAAAGCCAAAACAAAGCAAAACAAATACACATACACATTCAAAACAAAAAAGCCTAATTCTACTACTCAGAAATAACTAACCTCCACAAAAGAAATACATATAATGCTTTATAACTTGCTTTCCTTTAATATATTTTAAACTTCTTGCTATAGCATTAAATGTTCTTCTAAAACAATGATTTGTTGTTGTTGTTGTTGTTGTTGTTGTTTTTGGTGCCAGGAATCAAACTCTGGACCGAACCACTGAGCTAAATACCCTGCCCCAAAACAATGATTTTTTAATGAATGGGCAAGGCAAGAAAGGTGACATCTTAGAATCACTCAGGGGTGTTCAAAAAAACACTCTCTGCTCTTTCTGATATCCCTCTGGGGGCTGCAGCTCTCCCATTTAAAAGTCACCATGGACAAAACTAGGGTTGGCAGTAACCCTAATTTCCCTTAGGAGCATTAAGACAAAATCAAACCAAAGACCACTGTCCCTGTAAATTCACTTTTAATGATTACTAAGTTGGAATGTTCCATCACTTACTAACCAGTTTCCTTCCCGCATATTAGGCTATTTTCATTATATAAACATTATAATGAGCATCTGTGTAGACTATCTATGTATGCATCTGTACTGAAACCCATGGCACTTCCTCCTTGGTCACTAGTAATAAGGGAATGTGAAGTTACAAGGTCTCTCATTCTGTTTCTGAAATCTCCTTAAGGTGGGAATTTGACATAAAGAGGAAAGATGAGCCTTGATTAAGAAATTTAGTCACAATAAAATTGATAAACCTTTAGCCAACCTTATCAAAAAAAGGAAAGAAAAGGCACAAATCCATGCAATTAAGAATGAAAAAGGGGAAGTCACAAGAGATCCAACAGAAATCCAGAGGATCTTCAATACCTACTTCGAGAAGCTATACTCTAATAAAATGGAAAACACAAAAGAAATGGACAGATTTCTAGATACATATGAATTACCAAAGTTAAAAGAAGATATAAAATTCCAAATATCCCAATTACAATCAGTGAAACGGAAAATGTAATTAAAAATTTACCAACAAAGAAAAGCCAAGATCCTGATGGCTTCACTGCTGAATTCTACAAGACATTTAAAGAAGAACTGTCACCATTACTCTTTAAACTTTTCAATGAAATTGAAAGGGACGCAATACTCCCAGATTCATTCCAGGAAGCAAGTGTTACTTTGATTCCAAAACCAGGGAAAGATACAACCAAAAAAGAGAACTACAGGCAAATCTCCCTAATGAACATAGATGCAAAAATCCTCAATAAGATACTGGCAAACAGAATACAGAGGGTCATCAAGAAGATCATACACCCTGACCAAGTCGGATTTATCCCGATTTATGGTTCAACATACATAAATCAATAAATGTAATACACTATATTAAGAGAGTCAAGGACAAAAACTATATGATCATCTCAATAGATGCAGAAAAAGCATTCGATAAAATCCAACACCCATTCATGATAAAAACCCTGCAGAAAATTGTAATAGAGTGTCTTTATCTCAACTTGATAAAGGCTACCTATGAAAAACCAACAGCCAACATCATACTAAATGGTCAAAAACTGAAAACCTTCACGCTAAAATCAGGAACAAGACAAGGATGTCCACTATCACCACTTCTGTTCAATACAGTTTGGAAACATTAGCCACAGCAATTACACAAGAGAAAGAAATAAAAGGAATGAAGATAGGAAAGAAAGAAGTTAAACTGTCATTATTTGCTGACGATAGGATACTCTATATTGAAGACACAAAAAACTTTGCCAAAAGACTTCTAGACTTAATTGACAGATTCAGTAGAGCAGCTGGATACAAGGTAAACGCTCAAAAATCAACAGCCTTCTTGTACACAAATAACAGTCTCACTGAGAGAGAATTTAGGGAAACAATCCCTTTCACAATAGCATCCAAAAAAATGAAATATCTAGGAATCAGTCTAACAAAGGAAGCAAAAGACCGCTACATTGAGAACTACAACACTCTGAAAAAAGAGATTGAAGAGGATATAAGAAAATGGAAAGACATCCCTTGTTCCTGGGTAGGAAGAACCAATACAGTGAAAATGGTCATACTTCCAAAGCTGCTACACAGATTCAATGCAATTCTGATTGAAATCCCAACAGTGTATTTCACAGAATTAGAGAAAACAATCCAAAAATTCATTTGGAACCAGAAGACCTAGAACAGCCAAAGCAATTCTAGGCAACAGAGACATGGCAGGGGATATCACAATCCCCAACTTGAAACTATACTACAAAGCCACTGTGATAAAAAAACAGGATGGTACTGTCAAAGAAACAGACCTGAGGATCAGTGGAATAGACTAGAAGATACAGAAAAAACTCCAGATATACTCAGCCACCTCATGTTTTACAAAGGAGCCAACCATCCTCACTGGAGGAAAGATGGCCTCTTCATATATAATAAATGGTGTTGGAAAAACTGGATTTCAACTTGCCAAAGATTAAAACTAGACCCCTATCTTTCACCAACCTCTAAACTAAAATCGAAGTGGATTAAAGATCTAAATATTTAAACAGAAACACTAAACTCTGCTGGAAGATAAATTAGGTAGAACTCTTGAAGACATTGGCACAGGAAAAATCTTTATGAACAAAACCTCAGTAGCATGGGAACTAGCAGAAAGAATCAACAACTGGGATCTCATCTTATTAAAAAGCTTCTGCACTGTAAGAGAAACCACTAATAGAGCTAAGAGACAACCTACAATGTGGGAAAAAGTTTTTACCAGCTGTTCCTCAGACAAAGGTCTACTATCTAGAATATATAAAGAAGTCAAAAAAATCAGACCCCCCCCCAAATATAAAGACCCAATTCAAAAATGGGCATCTGAAATGAAGAGACATTTCTCAGACAAAGAAGTAAAAGCAGCAAATAAACATATGAAAAAATGTTCAACATCACTGGTCATTCAAAAGATGCAGATGAAAACAACACTGAGATTCCACCTCACCCCAGAAAGAATGGCTGCTATCAAGAAATCAACCAATAACAAATGCTGGTGGGGTTGTGGGGAGAAAGGAACCCTTCTTCATTGTTGGTGGGAGTACAGACTGGTGCAACCACTGTGGAAATCAGTATGGAGATACCTCAAACAACTAGGATTAGAAGTCCCATTTGACCCAGCTATTCCTCTGCTGGGTATCTTACCAAAAGAATTAAAAGAATCATACCACAGTGATATAAGCACACTCATGTTTTTAGCAGCACAGTTTGCAATAGCTAAAACTTGGAAACAGCCCAAATGCCCATCAACTGGAGAATGGATAAAGATGTGGTTTTTCTATAAAATGGAGTACTACTCAGCCATAAAGAATGAAAAACTAGAGACATTCATAGCTTAGTGGATGCACCTTGAGGTAATACTCTTAAGTGAAATAAATAGGACACACATGTGTAAATACCGAATAGTTTCTCTGGTGGGAAAAACTAAAAGTGTAAATAAGGATCAAAATGTATAATTGATATTGTGAAATAGGAAGAAATGGTGTAAAGAAGTAGGGAAAGTGGGAGGGTAGAGGAAAGAAAAGAAGGGAAAAGAAAAAATATGAGAAAAGGAAAAAATGTAAACAAAGTCTTTGTAAATAGGGAGGGGTGGAGGGGGTGAAGGGAGGGCAGGGGAATGGGGAAAAAATAAGAACCAAGATATGTCATGTAAAGGTACAAGATCCCAATGATGAATGTAACTATACTGTATATCTGAAATGTACCAATAAACTTAATGAAAAAAAAAGAAATTTAGTCACTCACCAGCATCTTTGATCCAATTATCGTAAAAATACACAGTCCTCGATGTAAGATCACTGAAGGCCATTTTCCACCAGATTTATAGGCTCTTCTAATGGATTCTTCAGAAAAACAAACCAGAAAGGAGTTTACGATCTATAAATGCAAATAAAGATAAGCTTTTAGTAATACAGTATTTAAAATGCTAAAAATTTAATAGGAAAAACTGGTAGAGCAACAAACTTCTACTAAAGGTAAACACATTAGTGTACCATATTAAAAATGGATACTGTTGCAAACATTTCATATTCTTTATCCTTCTAGGGACACTGCTAACTTCCTGAAAGAGTCTGACATTCTATATACAAGATATAAAAGGAGTAAATGAGTCTAAGAACTTTTTTGGGAGTGTCTCCCTTTAATGTCAAAAACAGGTCAGGGGGCCGGGGATTTAGCTCAGAGGTTCTGCTGCCCGCTTCACAAGCGGAAGGTCCCGAGTTCGATCCCCAGTACCAAAAAAAAAAAAAAAACAGATCAGGAATGGACTACACCTACCACAGCAATGCTGAAGTAAAAACCCAAAAGAAGAAAGCCTAGAAGATACACAAACTTCAGAGAAGGTATACCGCTCCTAGACTTGGAGCTCATCGTCAGGCCCACTAAGTCCTTCTATGTGCAAGTGGAATAGAGGCAGGAAAACAAACAAACAAACAAACAAAAAACCAGAACAACCCACAAGAGCCACGTAGAAGCTGCTTAGTTTATCTGGATAAGCTGACAAAAATAACTTGAAAAAGCAGTCTTCTCTGAAAGATGACCAGTGAGGAGAAACTATTACATATTCAAAGACGTTATAAATCTTCAATAATTAAAACAGTACAGCATTGGCAAGTGAAGAGACAAATGAAAATCACAAAGAAATGCAGAAAGTGTTGTTGAGACAGAGACCAAGAGCAGTATGGAGGACAACAGAAAAGGCAATCAACGATGGCTTCCGAAAAAGGGACTAGGAGACCAGCAGAGCCAGGACGAGGTAAGGGGTGGGGCTGGGAGGTGATGGGAAGAACCTTCCCTATTCCCCGGTAAAGGTCTTACAGTCTCTGGAAAATTAGAAGTCAGGCGGAATCTTAGTCCTTATTGTTAGGGAAGAAAATCTCTCTGAGGTAAAAATCCCAAGACTGCTAGGTAAAATTCAACCTAGGTATTAATCTGTGTGCTTCCCAGTACCACTCTCCATCTGTTTCTAGCTGGAACTGGGCCTCCCCTCCCACCCTACCCCCACCATTTAGGCAGAAACAAAATCTCAAAGAGGTCTTGAGTGCTAGACAAAACTCTTGGTGTTTGAATTCATTCCTTCCCAATAATTTAGTAAAATCAGAAACTTTAAAGCATATTAAAATGTGAATTAAAAAAGTAATAATTTGTTCAAAGCAGGATTTCTCCATCTTCACAGTACTGACATTTTGAGTCAGATGATTCTTATTTGTGCAGATCTGACCTGAACATTGTATGATGTTTGGAACCAGTGCTGACTTCTATTTACCAGATGCCAAGAATTCATCCTCACCCACTGAGACAACCAAAAATGTCTCCCAAAATTGCCAAACCTCTGGACGGCAAAAGTGTTCCAAATTGTGAGCCACTGTTTAAAGAAATCTAGCAATATGTATTCATCCAAATAGAAGTAGTTTGCCTCAGAATAATCACTTTAGCAATTGTACACTTATCCAGTGATGCTGTTATTCAAGACAATTTTTCAGCTTTTCTTTATAAACTAATTTCAGAGGTTTTTAGAATTTCAGTTAAATGACTTTATGGGAAGAAAATCTTTGTCTATTGTTTATAAAAATCAAGTTCATGTAAACCACTAGGACCACTATGGAAATCAATACAGAAATTCCTAAACTAACTGAAACTAAAAATTCCATTTGAGCCAGCTATTTCCCTTCTAGGTATCCTTTTGAACAAGTTCAAGATATCACACTACAGTGATACATGCATATCCATGCGTATAGCAGCACAGTTCATAATTAGTAAATCTTGGAAGCATCCTATATGTCCATCAACAGATGACTGGATAAAGAAATGGTGGTATTTACACACAATGGAGTACTACTCCACCATAGAAAAATAAACTTGAGTCACTTGTAGGAAAATGGATGCACCTTGAGATCAGAATGTTAAGTGATCATAATGTTAATGTGTCTAAGAATCAGACACACAAGCTTAAATATTGCATGGTTTCTTTTACACGAAAAACCCAAAGTATAAAGAAAGAGCAAAATAAAAGACAGATGATAGGAAATAGGGAGATAGATCTTTGTCAAATCAGAAGGGGATCAAGAAAAGGAGGGAAAGGAGGGAAAGGGGATGAAAAAAGGAACTAAGATGTATTATGAACCTGTACCAACTCCACAAAAGGAATGAAGATATTACGTACTGCAAACATGTAGAAAAAAAATGAAGGGGATCTAGAAATGGATAGAGGGGGTAGGGAGGGAAGGGCAAGAGGATGAAAACAAGGAATTACGATGTGCCATGTACATGTACCAGTTCCCCATAAACATATGTACTACAAACATGTACTAATTCTTTTTTTTTTTTTTGGTACCAGGGATTGAACTTGGGTCCTTGCACTTGCGCAGCAGGCGGCGAAACTACTGAGCTAAATCCCTGGCCCAATGTACTAATTTTTAAAAGTTTAAGAAAAGAATGTTTTTGAAGACAAATGGATCAAGTTGAGCCATACATTTACCAGTGGGGTGGCAACAGGAGGAATGGAGCTTGGTTTAGTGATAAAATAATTTACTACTAACATTTTTTACTTTGTGTTTTATAAAATGAGAATAATTCCAAAGGAACAAATCCAGAAATATTAAGGGCATGGCAATATTAGTGGAATAAATATAGAGTAGCCTGAGGTACCTATTTTAGAGGTAACACATTTAAATATGTACACATGTCAGCAAAATAATTTAACTCTTGTCTTTTTAATCCATTACAAATTCCAATTTACAGCAAGTGAATCTAGAAAAATGATTTCAAGGGACATATTTTCAAGTTTGTTAACAATTACTATATATGCACACATTTGTGTGCTGCAATTATATATAAATATATAACATACACGCACATTATAGAAGCAAGGATACAGATCCATTACACCTACCACACAGGAGTTTGTGTTTTGTTTTGATGTTTCATACTAACTTACATTTCTCTTTGAATTTCTTTTATTACCTTCTCTTCTTTTTGCTATTTCTAACAGACTGGCTGTGCACACTGTCTTGGGAATCAAACAGAATAGCAGAAGGCAAAGAAACAGAAAGATTTTAAATTACAAAAGTTTATGCACTTAGCCATATAGAAGAATTCAGGGCAAAAACAAGAGGTTTCATTGGGGATTTAGGTCAGTGGTGCTGGCGCCTGCCTGGCAAGCTCAAGGTCCTGAGTTTAATCCCAGGTATCGGAAAAAAAACAAGAGGTTTCATGCCTCCTAAAACAGAAACACATGTTTTAGGCTTGATGTGGGGAAAATTAGAGGGAAACCAATTGGTGTAGACCCCAGAGAGAGGGACAATAAGCCCTGAGCAGGCACAAGGTAGGATGACAGGGACTACGGGCCCTGTGTCCTGGGGGTATCTGGCATAGGTGGCTGATAAGGCTCTGGACAGCCATAGAGAGTTGTTTTGTTTTGTTTTCACTTCAGTGGAGAGAAGGACAGCAGAAAGGCTTCTGGGCACCCTCAACAGGCATGAAAGTATTTCAGGAAACTGTAGAAAATGAAGGAATCAAAAAAAAAAAAAAAAAAAGAAAAGAAAATGAAGGAATCATACAGATAACTACAACCTATCTCTTCAGACATGTGCAGGGACAAGCACCCAAAGATCTAATGAGACCCTGGGCATTCAGGGAATAGCAATGTAGTCAGAGAACGTGGAGGACTAAAAGGCTTCTCCTTCCAATTATGCTGATACTACGTAAGTTTCCTGTAACTTATGGGGCACAGGGAGAAGGTGTTCACAGATTAGATAAGTAGTAGATTTCTACCACCCTAAGAAATAAAAATTATGTCCTTACATTAGACAAAATAGACATTATGTTATAAGTTATCAAAGAGATAAGACAAATGAGTCAATTCATAAAGAGGATGTAATGATTATAAATGTATATGCACTTAATATCAGAGCACCTAACTATATAGGGCAAATATTAACAGGTCTGAAGAGAGAGACTACAATACAATAATAGGGTTGGACTACAATATCCCACTTTCAACAATGGATCCAGACAAAAAATATGAAAACACATAACTTCAAGTACATTTTACACCAAATGGACTTATCAGACATATATACAGCATTCTAGCTAACAGCAGCAGGATATTTGTTCTTTTCATGTACACATAGAACAGTCTCCAGTAGAGATCATATAGGAGGCCACAAAACAAGTGTTAAGAAATTTAAGAAGTCTAAAATCATATTGACTATCTTTCCAACCACACTGGTATGAATTTAAAAATCAGTAATAGGAAGAAAACTGGAAAATACACAGGACAAATATAAATAGGACAAAGAAGAAATCAGAAGGGAAATTTGAAAGTATCTTGAGACAAACATAGAAACACAACTTATAAAACTTACAGGATATAGCAGTTTTAAGAAGGAAGTTTATAGTAATAAAAGCCTACACTAGAAAGGCAGAAATATCTGAAATTAAAAATCTAACATTATACATTAAGGAACCGGAAAAAGAAAAGAAACTAAATCCAAAGTTAACAGAAGGAAGGAAATAACACTGATCACAACAATATATGAAATATACTAGAAAAACAGAAGAGTTGGTTTTATGAAAAGATAAAATTGACAAAATCTTTACCTAGACTATGGAAAAAGAGACTCAAATAAAATGAGAAAGAAGAGACATTAGCAAAGATACCAGGGAAATACAAGAGATTATGTACAGTTTTTCTGTATTCTGTATCTCTTAATGTCAGTGGTTCTGGGACCCGACTGAAAATTAGAATGGAGGCGGGCAGGGAGAGGGAGAGGGATTTGGATTGTTAGTGTTTGGGGAAATTAAGATTATGGGCTAGGTTGGCAACCTCTTTTTAATACTACATAAATCATTCTTAGGACAATACTCACAACACATGA